TGGGGTTCGATTCCCGGTCAGGGCACATGCCTGGGTTGTGGGCTGCAGCCAATCAGTGACTCATCATTAATGTTTCTATCTCTCTCTCTCCCTCTTTCCTTTCTCTGAAATCAATAAAGATATATTAAAATATATATATATATATTTTAAAAATAAATAAATAAATAAATAAATAAATAATATAAATAAATCAGAGAGCCCTGGCCGTGTGGCTCAGTTGGTAGAGCATTGTCCCATGTACTGAGAGGTCTCAGGTTCGATTCCCGGTCAGGGCACATGCCCAGGTTTTAGGCTCGCTCCCCAGTAGGGGGTGTGCAGGAGGCAGCCAATCAATGACTCTCTCATCATTGATGTTTCTCTCTCTCTCTCCCTCTCCCTTCTTCTCTCTCTAAAATGAATAAAAACAGACTTAGAAACCAATCAATCAACAAAGAACAAGTGTTGACAGAAATGTGGAGCGAAGGGAGCCCTTGTGCACTGTTAGTGGAATTGCAAATTGGTGTGACCACTATGGAAAACAGTATGGAGATTCCTCAAAAAATTAAAAATAGGACTGCCATATGACCCAGCAATTCCACTTCTGGGTATTTATTCGAAGAAATCCAAAACACTAATTTGAAAAGATATATGCACCCCTATGTTCACTGCAGTGTTATTTACAATAGCCAAGACCTGGCTACCTGTCTGTCTGATTGTCTAACTCTCCATTGATAGACAAATGGATACGGAGGAGGTGGTGCATAGACACAGTGGAATATCTCTCAGCCGTAAAAAAGAATGCGACCTTGCCATCTGCAGCAACGTGGACGGACCTAGAGGGTATTATGTCCAGTGAAATCAGTCAGAGAGAGACAAACACCATATGATTTCACTTATCTATAGAATCTAAAAAATAAAATAAATGAACAAAAAAGAAACACATTCATAGACACAGAGAACACACTGATGGTTACCAGATGAGGGGGGGGTTGGGCGTAAGTGAAAAAGGTGAAAGGGATTAAGTACAAATTGCCAGCTATAAAAATAGTAATACCCTGGCCAGTGTGGCACAGCTGGGTGGGTGTCCTCTGGTTCAATTCCAGGTCCGGGCACATGCCCAGGTTGCAGGTTTGATCTCTGGTTGGGATGTGTGCAGAAGGCAGCTGATCAATGTTTCTCTCTCTTTCTCTCTCCCTTCCTCTCTCTCTAAAATCAATAAAAATATTTCTTTTTTAAAAATAGTCATGCCCTGCCGGGCGTGGCTCAGTGGTTGAGAGTCAACCTAGGATCCAGGTGATTGGGGTTCGATTCCCGGTCAGGGCACATGCCCGGGTTGTGGCCTGCAGCCATCAATGACTCTCTCATCATTGATGTTTCTCTCTCTCTCCCTCTCCCTTCCTCTCTCTGAAATCAATAAAGATATATATATTTTTTAAATGGTCATGGAGATGTAAAGTACAGCATAGGGAACATAGTCAATAATAACTACTATGCATGGTGCCAGATGGTTACTAGAATTATTAACTTTGTAAGGTGAACACTTTGTAAAGGTATATAAATACCTAATCACTATGTTGTACACCTGAAACTAATATAATAGTGTATGTCATTGAAAATTTGAAAAATATAGAAAATATATATTGAAAAATAAAGAAAAAATAAACAAATGAAAATAATTTTCTATCCCATAGGTCAGTTGTGAGGGGAATAGAGCTGACATGGATGCTCAGCGCAGAGTCTGCACGCAGTAGGCCCTCAATTAATGGGCCCTGTTGTTCCTGATGGCAGCAAGATGGGACAGTGCCTCAGACCTGAGTTGAGGTGACTTTTCTTGGGCACTGCCTGGCCATTCAAGTCACCAGGGGGCGCCCCAGCCCCGCCCAGGGCACCGCCCCTCACCTGTGGACGGCGCACCAGGTGCCGCCTCCGGAAGAAGGAATCCGACGGCGGGGATCTCGGCAGGAGCCGGGCGTCGTGGGGTGAGAGCCTAGGGGGCGCTGAGGACAGGGGCCCTACAAACGGGGCGGGACAGAGCAGGGGCCGGTTGGTGTGCTTGGCTGGGCGATGGAGGCCTCGGGATGCAGGCAGGCAGGAAGGGGGCGCTGGGCTGGGGTTCGGAGGGACTAGGGGCCCTGACGCCTGGTTTGAGGTACTAAAGGGCAGCTCGGTTCAGGGAGGGGAAAGAGGAGCGAGGCACTGGGATCTTCAGAGGGGGTCCAATTGCAGGGCCAAGTCAGGGAGACCCTGGGATCCAGACTGAGGGCAGCTGGACTGGGACTGCTGGGACACCTGGGTTCTGCTGGTAGGACTGGGCTTGGGCACCTGGTGAGGGGAGCAAAGGGAGGGACAAGTGTGCGTATGTTGGGGAGGGTACCTCAGAGGACTGGTAGTGCAGGAGTGTGCCAGGGAAGCCCCTGTATGGTGTGTCCCCTCCCTCTGGAGTCCCTGAACTGCTAGGCCCTGGGAGGTCCTAGGGGAGTGCCACCAGGCTCCTGTCCCCAGGGGCGGGCCAGGGAGTAAACAGGAACCTGGATTGGCAGGACAGCAGTAGCTGGCACAACCTGTTGCCTCGCCCTGCCTGGGCCCTGGGAAACTAGAGGGCTGGTGCCAACACTCCAGAGGGGACAGCTGAGTGTCGGCACCTGAGTTCTGAGGGGTAAGAAACAAAACACCTGGCTCCTGAGAAAATAGGAGGACAGGGCCAGGGCCGGGATACCTGGGAGGGCATCTGAGTCCCAAGGAGATGGGAACCCAGGCTTCTGAAAGAGGAGAGGGCTGAATTGCTGGGGGCTAAGGCGTCAGGATACCTACGTTCCCAAGGCCCTGTATTCTTGGAAGGAGGAGGGTCTAGACTTGTCCCTGAGTCCTTAGTTCCTCTGAACCTAGGTTCTGAGAAGTTTCCCAGCTGGTGAGGGGCTGGGTGCCAGAATCCACCTGGATTCTAGAAAGAGGGAAGCAGGAAATGTCAGCAGGGTGGCCTGTGTCCCAGAGCACTGGGAAAAGGTTGTTTGGGGGCAGAGAATGTCTGCCAGAGACAGAAGAGAGGGCAGCCCATTTCCTGCTTCTCTCTGCCTCAGTTTACCCTGGGGACATTACTGAGCTGAGTGGCCAAAACACAGATCATTAACCCTTCATGGCCCAGGGAGGCCCTGGCTGCAAGACTGGGAGGGCCAGTGGACAGGTGAAGAATTAAGGGAAGGGGGGGGCTGTCAAACCCCAGGCTGCAGAGTAGAGTGTCCCACATACCTACCTGTCCCCATATGCAGTGCAGGCACCATGAACTCCCCAGAAGGGCCAAGCTTCAGGCCAGAGCTGTTCTCTGGTGGCGCCTCCCCGAGCTGTGATGAGGGCTTCTTCCCCTTCGTGCTGGAGCGGCGGGACTCATTCCTGGGAGGGGGCCCAGGCCCCCAGGAGCCCGAGGACCTGGCCCTGCAGCTGCAGCAGAAGGAAAAAGATTTGCTGTTGGCCGCAGAACTTGGCAAGATGCTTCTGGAGCGCAATGAGGAGCTGCAGCGGCAGCTGGAGACGCTGAGCACCCAGCACTCTGAGCGTGAGGAAGTGAGCTGGCAGCAGGGGTGGCGGCAGGGTGCAGGGGTGGGCAGATGGAGGACAGGTGAGCGGGGAGCAGAAAGCCAGGCAGGCAGATGCTTCTGGAATAATTCAGGGCTGGGCCCAGTTCCCCCGGCAGTGTTGTTTGGTGGTTAAGAGGATGGGCTCTGAGGACAAGTCAAGACCTGGATTCAGACCCCTGCCTGGCTGTGTGACCCTGGGCAAGCTGCTGGCCCTCTCTGAATCTTGAGTCCACCTCCTCAGCAGTATAGTGCAACCCCAGCCAACAGTTACTGGGCACCCCCTCCCCATCTGGCTCTGGGCTAAGCACTTTGCATGCATCATCTCCGTAAATTCCCACTCAGTCTTTGAGGTAGGAACAGTTCTTCCCTCTGCCCAGGTTCTATTGTCAGCCACACTGTCACCTGGGGTCACATTTGGCCCCTAAACACCCTGGATACCACTAACTCCTAGACCCATGTCATCAGCCTCAGCCACTTCCCTGAGCCCAACCTGGGTAGCTTACCCCCTGCACCTCTCCAACAGGCCATCTAATGGGCATCTTAACACAAGTGGCACTCTTCATTCTGACCCTACCAGCCTCTGTCCCCATGCCAGCTTCCCACCGCAGGGCCAGACCCTGAGCATTTTCATGACCTCTGCTACCACACCTGCGAGCCCTATTAATTCTTCTAAACCAGATTCTGAGGCCATCCACTTACGTTTCTGCAGCCTCCAATCTGGTCACAGCCTCTGTTATCTCTGCCCCAGACACTGTGGCCACCTCTTCGCCGGTTCCCAGGTTCTATTCTTGCTCCCTGGAGCCCATTGTCTATGGGGCAGCTAGAGGGATCTTCCAAAATTACAAATCAGATCATTCCTGTTCTTGCTCAGAATCTCCCAATGGCTCTTCATCACATTTAGAATGAAACTGAAACTCCTCACCAGAGCTTAAAAGTCCCTGTGGGCAGCTTCCCAGACCTGAGCTCAGTTTACCACCCCTCCTACTGGGGGG